ATGACAAGTATATCAAAAGCTTGATTTTTTCAAACAACTAATTAAATGATTTTAAGAAAGATTTAAATATGAATTAATTTTTATATATTGACAATGTATACTTTGTTATAGTTGGATATATGATAACTAATCCGAATTGAAGTTTAAAATTTGGTATGTATTAAAGATGAGTAAAAAATAAGAAATCCATTGACGAAATGATTTAATTGTTACAAATAATATCTGTTTTTAAGTGTTAGATAAATTTTGTAGATTCGATGTAGATATACACCTTTTTCGAAGTTATTACAAAATTTGTCAACATAAATAGGATAAGAGCCAATAAGATTCAGCCTAAGACATGTGCTAGTAGGGGTGCAATCAAGTCAAATCAAATTTTGTCTTAATCAAACTGAGCATTGACTTAATTTTATTAGGGGTGGATAAAAATACCCACTAACCCAAAAACCCACGACATTTGATCCTATCCGATTCAAAAATGAAGAATCCGATCCGTATCATTTGATCAGGTTAAAAAAGGATCGGGTACCTATTTAGATGTGGGGCAGGTTAGGGTCACATAATTAAAAACCTGCAGATACCCGACCCGTTCTTCATATATATATATATATATATATATATATTTTTTATACACATACTATAAAATAATATATTTAGAGTTAAATAAGCAATTTTATTGAACAAATTACATTACAAATATGGGAGACTATAGTTTCTTATAAAATTCATTTGTAGAGGTCATGATCTTATATTTTTTTTAAAAAGAGTTTAATTAATGTAGACTATATATATTTAAAAAAAGTGCTACTTATTTCAAATTTTTATTGATTTTGAATTCTTTTAATTTTTTTCTTTTTCTTGTATTCTCTTCATATGCTTGTTTCTTCGTAGGAGACTTTTTTCGAGAAAAAATCTTTGTTAAATGTTAGATGAACATGTAAAACAAAAAAGTAAATTAGTATAAATTATTTTTTTAAAAAATTAATTGATAAGTGGTGGAGTGGGTACCCATTGACTCAATCCTACTTCAGAGGGTACTCAATAATCGGGTACTTGTTGATATGTGGAACGGGTAAGGGTCAAAAAATGCCTGACTTGCAAGGTGCGGGACGAATCAGTCAAATGGTGCATGGAGCGGGTAACCAACCCATGCCCACTTCTATATTTTATCAAGTTCAAGCTCAAACTCAAACTCTTAATGTAAAGATCGAGTTCGAGCCGAGTTGAGAAAAAAATGAATAAAATATTAGGAATATATATAATTTTACTATTCATATATATATGTATGTATGTATAATCGAGCTAGTTTGTGAACTAATGAGTTAAGCATTTTTTAATTTGAATTCGAACTCGAGTTCAATTTAGTAAGTACGAACCCGACTAGAACTCGATAGTGTCTGAACTCAATCCGAACTTTGAATCAAGCTACTCATGAACGGCTCATGAGTGACTCAACTTGTGTGCAGCCCTATGTGCTGCCAACCGTGTGATTTTTTTTTTATTCCGCTTCATTACTTGGTTCCCTGGTTCCATATGAGTCACTTGTGGCATTAGGTGTAGGATGTCTAGCTATTATCTCTCTCAAAATTTATCTTCCTTGGTTCCGCTTCTTTCTTCCCTTTTATTTTGAACTCTCTACTTTTTTCTCATTCTTTCCATTCTATTTTCTTCCCTCTTATCTTTCTTTTCTTCTTTTTTCTTCCTTCATTCTCCCTATTACCCGGGGATCTTTCTTCTCTAATAATGTTTTGGCTAAATTAATTATAACGCCCAGTGATTTTATATAATGTCAAATGACCCCTCTAAAGGTTTAAAATAGCCATATAACCCTTCTATGATTTTATGTAAAGTGAAAAATAGATGAAATGCACAACTAGTTATGATATTTATACCAAGCGAACTCTAAAAGTGTGTGTGATAAAATTTTAATCTCCATAAAACTCCCTTAACATTTGTATAAATATTTACTTTATCCTCTGTGTTTTTTGCATTTATCCATGTAATCCCCTCATGCTTTTATATAAGGTAGTTAAGTCATTGATTGATTCAGCATCTAAGTAAAAGTACTATTGGTATTTCAATTAACGACATTATGTAAGTTATTTTTGCTCAAGATTCTACATTACATAAAACCATATGGGTGAAATGAACATTTTGAAATGTTAAAGGAGTCATGTGGCAATAGATAAAACTACATGGGAGTTATATATAATTTACCCTAATATTTTATATGACTTTCTCTATTCTTTGGAATTTATATTATTGTTCTTTTCAAAGCCTTCTTGAAAATATACTTTCCTTGGTCATATATTTTTTAGAGTACACTTGTATATTCAAGATACATTTGGTAAATCTGGACATATAAAGCTTTCATTGTTGTGTGGAAAATCAATGAGCTTACACATTTATATCCCGGAGCACCTCTAACTCGAATTTTGATTGAATAAACTCAATATTCGGCTAGCTCAATTAATGTGTGATACCCATTGAACACCGATACAACAGTTCTTTTATAGCTCTATTCATTAGACACCAACTACCTAATGGCTCGACAAAGCTTGGCCAATGAAAACATTGTCTTGAGTTATAATCAAGTAAACTTGGCTGAAGTTTTGCTCTCGGAAACTCCATAATGCTTGGATGAACACATATTAATTTGGATTTAGTATAATAGTAAGTATCTATTGGATACCCGCTAGGGAAAAATTTTTTTTATTTGCCACTTTATAGCCATTCCATTGGACAATTGTTAGAAAACCAATTTTCCACCCCTAATATCCTTGTATAAAAATTAAAAAGAATCTATATGACTTCCTTTATTTCTTCACAAGAAAACTTTGTTCTCTTATCTCCCATAAATAGGATGTACCTTTTAATTTTCAAAGAGTATTAGGGTGCGTTTGGTTCTACAGAATTGGAATTGAATTAGAATTGAAATTCTGTGAATTGGAATTCCAAATCATTGCAATTCTTTCGTTTGGAAAATGCATAGAATTGATATGGAATTTATTTGGAATTCCAAATTCTTTGTTTGCATGGGAGAAGAATTCATTAGGAATTAGAATTGTTTTCATGAAACATTTGCTTACATAAAATTTTTCTTTTTTTCTTTTTTATAAAATAATTTCTTTTTTTCTTACATTTAGCTAATTTTTACTAAAAATTTAAAGGAAAAAACCAATTTGTACCTTTAATAATTTATTTTTTCTTGCATTTAGCTAATTGTTACTCAAGCTTTAAAGAAAAATGCAAATTACTTCCTTTTTTTTGCAAAATATCAGCCAAAACCCCAAAACCAGCTAAGGCATTCAGGCAAAAATTACAACCAACAATGACAGTAAAAATAGAAAATATTGCAACAATGACAATATAAATCGACACCTGCATACCAAGAACAGAATACTTATGCTAAATTGCTAGCTTAAAGTTTCAAACAACCATCATAGAGACAGAGGTTATATACACTGTAGTGGAAAAAGTAGCCATCATTTCTGGCTACTTTAACATTGAAATGGTTTGTTAACAATCGAAACTTTTGGCCTTTGGTAGCAAGACCATTTCTAGCCAATTGGTAGTCTCTTGGCATCTCTTGGCGTCTGAAGCCTTTGAAGGAACAACATTTGGGGGTATAGCAGGTGGCAGTGGAGGCAGTGTTTCTGATGCATCTTCCACTTTAGGATCCATCTCTAATTAACCTGATTTGCAGAGAAGAAATGTAAGTTTGATTGTATACAGAGACAGTATATCTCCATAACAAGCAGATTTGCACACAATCCTACAGGGAAATGATTTAGTGACTTATAGGGCATATGATTTGGAAATCAGAATTTACTTCGAACGTTCAGCCAAATACTGATATAATCCATGACTACTATAATGAAAAATGCAAATTACTTCTTTTTTTGCAAAATACCGGCCAAAGCCAGTTCGTATTTTAGAATCTTCCTTTCGAACTGAAGAACCCAGTTCGAGAAAATCAAACAGGGCTAAGGAGAGAGCACTTGGAGGGGTGGCAGGAGTGGTGAAGGGTAGAGGGATGGCCGGAGGAGCAAAGGGCAATGGGGGAGACGGTGGTGAGAGAGGCAAAATGTTAGGGTTGAGGTGGAAGCAGCAGTGGACAGCAGAGCAATTGTGCTGAGGAAAAGCGGTGAATTAGATAGAGAGAGGGACGCGAATTAACTTGACCCGATTTTTATTTTTTACCCACATTGGATCCGCGTGTAGACCCGTTTTTGAGAGTTTAGATGTGAAATTGGAATTAGAATTCTTTTGATCTGATAAAGAATTCAATTCATGGAATTGGAACCTCTTGGCATTAGAATTCAATGCTAATTCTATGGAAAGGGCAGCATCCAAACACAAAAATTAGAATTGGGGTTCCAATTCCAATTCTAAATCCCAATTCTATAGGGTACCAAACATACCCTTAGTATATTTGGATCAGTTCGGTAGTAAACTTCTAGTTGTTTCCCAAAAACATTTATTGGAGGGGACTTGTACCCGATGTTTTGGCTTGAGAGAATGGCAAGAACAGATCTGCCTCTTCTACATGTAACAATCTGAGTGACACGAACAAATTTTATTTTTCTGAGAAAAAATAGTTCAACAGTCCAACTTTTTCTTTTTCTTCTTCTCTTCTTCTTCTGTTTCTGTCCTTTATACAAAGTATTCTCAAGAAAATTCAACAGCGTACAATTGTAAAACCAAGAAATTTTAATCTAATTTGGATTAAGACCTGACCTAATATTTAAAACTACAAAGGAAAAAGAAAGATGAGGAAGGGACTGAAAAGATAAAAAGAATCTTATGCCTGAGAGTTAACATTTGACATGGAGCCGATTTTAATTGGATTTGAAGGCACTTGTTTCTTACAGGTGAAATTGTAAAACAAAATCATAAAGTCAGTTGTCATTTGAAGGTATGTGCATATTAATCTGTATGATTAGCCTATGCTACATGGCCCCAAATCCATTATAATCACATGTACACATCAAAGTGAATCACATGAACAACATCTGCACAACAGCAATCATCAATGATATCGATGATGGCATGAGAGCATGAGCCAGGCTTCGTGCGTATCCATTAAAATTAGGGATCTCAGTAGCTAATATTTCGACAGGGAATGTGCAGGATGGAGTTGAAGGATCATCTGAGACTATCTTACCATATCCGTTGTAATAACACGATTTGTTGTACACATTTTGAGCTACCTTCCGGAAGCCCATATTAAAAACGTATGAAAGCTGCTGTGTTTCTGTCAGATTGCTACATGACGCTCCAGCTTCCATTGCTGTGCAATCTACAATACTGTCATGTGCATCCAAAAAATTTTCTCTTATTGTATTATTAATATCATTTGCAACATCACCGTTGATGATGCACCACCTTTTAGGCATATGTGTAATGCCTACAGTTGGTACTAACTTCACATCACGCCCAAGCCCCTGTACATCAAAGTTAAACTTAGGCTGTCCATCAAATTTGTAGATGCCCCAGTGTCGCTTGAAGGATCCGGTACTCTTGTTTATCTTATTTTCATTAGACAAATTACGGATGTAGACATCAATTGGACTAGGACATTGAGGAGTTCCTTTCTTACTTGCTACAAATTTAGCTAAGCCCTGATGGAATCTCTGTGCATTTGGGATGTTCCCATCTTTTATTCCATATGTTGGCCATCCAATTGCATCTATAATGATTGTCATGTTTGGACACCCCACTTTTTCTAATGCAACATCGAACATATCATACATAACCTCAAAAACATTGGAGTAAGTCTTGTCCCCGTCTTTGAAAACTGAGGTGGAGTTGTTCTCAAAAAATGCAAATTCGGTGTCACCGTTGAACAGATCATTAACACTCAGGAGTGGGAAAACATCTAGTCCAATTGGAGCATTATAGCTCTGCAGAATCTGACAAGACCTAGTCATGTTTGGCTCTAAATCTGCTCTGAAAGCACCCTCTGATGGTTTCTTTATAGGGATGAGGACGTCAGTGAAATGACTCATTGTTGCTTTAATTTCACTTTTATTCATTAAATTAAGAGCTCTTTGTGTCCAATCCAATACCTGAATAGCTTCCTTGTTTGACAAGTCGCTCAAAACTTGCAAACCATCTTCCTCCTTTGAACAAGATCCCTTCATATCTAATCTTAAATGCATTTATTGAACAAGATCTAATCACACATGTATCAAAAAGGTGAAAAAGAAATAAAATAGTAAAAAAAAAAAGAGTTCAAAAAGAGAGAAGTTTAAAAAAAATAAGATAAATTTTTTATATTTTGTGAGTTTGAGGAGAAAAGACTAGCACGATGAAATCTGGAACGGAAAACGGAAAAAGAAAAAAAAAGAAAGAGTTGGAAGAAGAAGAAGTTGCAGGGGAAAAAAGAACAGAGGCAGGACAAGAATGGATGAAAGTGACGGCAACATGATTGCTTTAGGCTTAGAGTCAAAGACAAATATGAGAAAATTTCAGTTTGGGTTCAAAGTTTTAACAAATTTATGTTTTGACCTCTAAAGTATCTCAAAATTGTTGACGTACTTAGAAATATTTTATAGATTATAGATAGTCCTAAATTTTAGTGTTTTATTTCAAATAAATCTCCAAAATTAATTCTAAACTATGAAATAAACATTAAATCATATGACCTATTAGTTGATTATTCTATGTTATTTGTATTTTTTTGTTAAATAATTTTGAAACATCAAACATCTACTAATATACTTTACATGATATTAACCTATGGTTAGACATTTTACATAATATTTTAATTTTAATTAAATTATATTAATGACATCATACTGACATCATCCGATTTTTGACACCGGTCGAACCCGGTTGGACCCATTGACTCCTGACCCCTAAACTCTACCGAGTCTTTGTCCGGTCCGAGTTTCAAAACATAGCCTATGTGACAGGAGCTCATTCATTCAACTATTGGGAAAGCTAAGTGGTGGCTAAGATAGAGCGCTTATCCTAGTCCGTAGGCAGGTCTAAGGATCAAATTCTAGGCCTGGAAGTTGGGGGTTGGGAGTTTATAGAAAGAGGTAGGTGCTATTAAAAGAAAAACGTACATGTAATGGACATTGGGATGCCTTACAATAATCTGAACCACCCAGTCGTTCACATCAGCTTGATTTTTCAGCTTCTGTGTATATACATTAGGCATTGTGACTTCTAGTCCAATGTCAGTCACTGAAAAGGCTTCCAAGACATTGTCACTTGCACTGTAAAGCTTCACGTAATTGATCTTGTTTTGCATCAATAAGTCAACCACCATGGATGGTATCATTCTTTGTGTTGCCAACCTTCCCCAATTCATACCCAAATAACCCTCTACATCAATGGTCTCCAATGAAAGCAATGAAATTGCAGATATTAAGAGATTGAAGCTGTTCATCCCACTTTGATCCCACTTTTAATATCAATATGTGGAGTTCAACCTAGTTCCCCAAATGAGGAAGAAAATTCGAAAAAGTGATCATTGTCATAAATATGAAAAAATATACCAAAAAAGAGATGGTTTATCACAGGTTTTGTATAGGCAATCAATCAGGAAAACAAGGAGTGACAACCACTGAAATTTTATTGACAACTATTGAAGGAAAAAAAAGGTAAATTGAAAATAAGTGGTTCCCTTGTAGATTTGACCAACTAATACTACTTTTTTATTTGGCAAGTAATGTTTTCTAAATTAGGGAGAAAAGGTAAATTGAAAATAATTGTTCCCTAGTAGATTTTACCAACTAATACTACTAATTTGGCTAGTGATGTTTTCTAAATTAGTAAGTTCGCTAGAATCCGGTTTCTAATTAGCACCGAAATAGGATACATATTACAGACACAACTACTTGAGGTCCTTAAGGATCCTCCAGGTTTTTCTTTTTTTTTTTTTGATTTATTTTAGTGTAGGTGGGAGATTTTGAACTTGGAAACTTTTATTTACACTCTTTCCCCTCCCCCCCCAACGATCCTCTAGTTTTGAACAAATATAAGATAGATTTGGATTTGGTTGTGTCATTCTCTAACCTTAAGAGATACAAAACAAAATCTTCAAAAGTTAAAGTCTTATATAGCTCTAGGACAAATATATCAAAAGCTTGATTTTTTTAGACAATTAATTAAATGATTTTAAAAAATATTTAAATTTGAATTAATTTTTATATATTGATAATGTATACTTTATTATAGTTGGATGTATGATAACTAATCTGAATTCGAATTTAAAATTTAGTTATGTTTTAAAGATGAATAAAAAATAAGAAATCAATTGACAAAATGATTTAATTCTCACAAATAATATCTGATTTTTAAGTGTTAGATAAATTTTGTAGATTCAACGTATATATACACCTTTTTCGAAGTCATTACAAAATTTGTCAACATAAATAGGATAAGAGCCAATAAGATTCAGTCCCAAAACATGTGTTGAAAAATACCCGCTAAAATGAAAATCCGTCACATCCTATTTTATCTTATCCGAAAATTATGATACCCGATCCGTATTATTTAATCAGATTTAAAGAGGATTGGGTACCCACTTAGATGTATGATGAGTTAGAGTCACATAATTAAAAATCACAGATACCCGACCCATCCCGCATATTTGTTTTTTTATATTTATACACATACTATAAAATAATATATTTAGAGCTAAATAAGTAGTTTCATTGGACAAATGCATTACAAATATAGGAGACTATAGTTTGTTTACTAAATTCATTTGTAGAGGTCATGATCTTTTTTTTTTTAGAAAAGAATTTAATTAATATGTAATATATATTTAAAAAAGGTGCTTTCTATTTCAATTTTTTATTGATTTTGAATTCTTTTAATTTTTTTTTATTTTTCTTGTATTTTCTTCGTATGTCTGTTTCTTGGTAGGAGACTTTTTTTAAAAAAAATCTTTGTTAATCTTAAATGAACATGTTAAATAAAAAGTTAATTTAGTATAAATTATTTTTAAAAAAATTAAAGGGTTAAGAACAAAAAAGCCCATGTGATATATGTAATATACGGAAAGTCCCCTGTGGTTTCAAAACATACAAAATGATAACTCATGTTTTGAACTAAATTATAAACTAACAGAATTTGTTAAATTTAACGAAAATGTCGGTTTCGGCAGTTAAATTACCGAATTTCGTTAAGTTTACCGTTAAGATAAAAAGAATCTTATACCTGAGAGTTAACATTTGACATGGAGCCTATTTTAATTGGATTTCAAGCCACTTGTTTCTGACAGGCGAAATTGTAAAACAAAATCGTAAATGTCAGACGTCATTTGAAGGTATGTGCGCATTAATCTGTATGATTAGCCTATGCTACCTAGCCCCAAATCCATTGTAATCAGCATGTACACATTAAAGTGAAGCAGATGTACAACATCTGCACAACAGCAGTCATCAATGATATCGATGATGGCTTGAGAACATGAGCCAGGCTTTGTGCGTATCCAGTAAAATTAGGGATCTCAGCAGCTAATATTTCCACAGGGAATGTGCAGGATGGAGTTGAAGGATCATTTGAGACTATCTTACCATATCCGTTGTAATAACACGATTTGTTGTACACACTTTGAGCTGCCTTCTGGAAGCCCATATTAAAGGCATACGAAAGCCTCTGTATGTATGTCAAATTGCTGCATGAACCTCCAGGATCCAATGCCGTGCAATCTGCAGTGTCACATGCGTACTTTACTTCATCATCAAAAACATTATAGGCAATTTTACCAATATCTGATGTGTATCGGTCATTGAAAATGCACCACCTTTTAGGCATATGTGTAATGCCTATAGCTGGTACTAGCTTGACATCGCGCCCAAGCCCCTGAAGATCAAAGTTAAACTTAGGCTGTCCATCAAATTTGTAGATACCCCAGTGTCGCATGAAGGACCCGGCATTCTTGTTTATCTTATTTTCATCAGATAAATTATGGATATAGACATCAATCGGACCAGGACGTCGAGGAGTTCCTTTCTTACTAGCTACAAATTTAGCCAAGCCCTGATAAAATCTCTGTGCATTTGGGATGTTTCCATCTTTTATTCCATCTGTTGGCCATCCAATTGCATCTATAATGATTGTCATGTTTGGACACCCCACTTTCTCTAATGCAACATCGAACATATCGTACATGACCTCTATGACATTTGAATAGGTTTTGTCCCCATCTTTGAACACTGAGGTGGAGTTGTTCTCAAGAAATGCAAATTCAGTGTCACCGTTGAACAAATCATTAACATTAACGAGTGGGAAAATAACCACTCCAATTGGAGCATTGTAGCTCTGCAGAATCTGACATGACTTAGTAATGTTTGGCTCTAAATCTTTTCTGAAAGCACCCTCTGATGGTTTCTTTGCAGGGATGAGGACATCAGTGAAATGACTCATTGTTGCTTTAATTTCACTTTTATTCATTAAATTAAGAGCTTGTTGCATCCAATCCAATACCTGAATAGCTTCGGGATATGTTTGATTGAAAAATCTTGTCGATAATGGCTGCGTCCCAATGCAAACATACCTATAAAAAAAATTCAAACAAAAGTTGACCAAAAATGAAAATATAATCAATAAGAGAGCTAAAAAAACAAAGGAGAAATTAAATTGTTAACCATTAAATTATACTCAAATTTATAACCAAAAATTCATCTAATAATATCTCTTTCAAGGTGTGATGGGAGTTATAAGGTACAACATTCAGATTCATCCAGTGGCTAAGTAATGGCTTTTAAGAGTCTTGCCTCACCGTCAGCAGGAAGGATCAAATTCTAGGCCTGGAAATTGGGGGTTGGGAGTTTATAGAAAGAGGTAGGAGCTATTCAAAGAAAAACATACATGAAATGGACATTGGGATGCCTTACAATAATCTGAACCACCCACTCATTCACATCAGCCTGAGTTTTCATCTTCTGTGTAGATTGATTAGGCATTGTGATTTCCAGTCCAATGTCCGTCATTGAAAAGGCTTCCAAGACATTGTCACTTGCACTGAAAAGCTTGACGTAATTGATCTTGTTTTGCATCAGCAAGTCAACCACCATGGATGGTATCATTCTTTGTGTTGCCAACCTTCCCCAATTCATACCTAAATAACCCTCTACATAAAGGGTCTCCAATGAAAGAAATGAAATTGCACATATTAAGAGATTGAAGCCGTTCATCCCACTTTGATCCTACTTTTAATATCAATATGTGGAGTTCAATCTGGTTCCCCAAATGAGGAAGAAAATTCAAAAAAGTGATCATTAGCATAAATATGAAAAAATGTACCAAAAAAGAGATGGTTTATCACAAGTTCTGTACAGGTAATCAATCAGGAAAACAAGGAATAACAACCACTAAAATTGTATTGACAACTATTGAAGGAAAAAGGTAAATTGAAAATAAGTGGTTCCCTTGTAGATTTGACCAACTAATACTACTTTTTTATTTGGCAAGTAATGTTTTCTAAATTAGGGAAAAAAGGTAAATTGAAAATAACGGTTCCCTAGTAGATTTTACCAACTAATACTACTTATTTGGCAATTGATGTTTTCTAAATTAGTAAATTCCCTAGAATCTGGTTTCTATTTAGCATTGAAATAGGATACATATCACAAACATAACCACTCAAGGTCCTCAAGGATCCTCCAGCTTTTATTTATTTATTTATTTTAATGTAAGTGGGAGATCTTGAACTAGGGAGTTTTCATTTACACTCTCTCCCCTCCTCTCCTCTCCCCCCAACAGCCTCTAGTTCTGAACAATATTAGACATATTTGATTTGATTATGTCATTCTCTAACCTAAAGAGATACAAAACAAAATCTTCAAAAGTTATAGGCTTATATAGCTCTACAACAAATATGAATTAATTTTTATATATTGATAATGTATACTTTATTATAGTTGGATGTATGATAACTAATCCAAATTCAAGTTTAAAATTTGGTTATGTATTAAAGATCAGTAAAAAAAATAAGAAATCAATTGACGAAATGATTAAATTCTTACAAATAATATCTTATTTTTAAGTATTTGATAAATTTTGTAGATTCAACGTAGATATACCCGTTTTTCAAAGTTATTACAAAATTTGTCAACATAAATAGGATGAGAGCCAATAAGATACAGCCGAAGACATGTGCTGTTAGGGGTGCAAGCGAGTTGAATCAAATTTTGATCGAATCAAACTGAGCATCGACTTAATTTTATTAAGGGTGGATAAAAATACCCGCTAACCCAAAAACCCACGACATTTGATCATATCTGATTCAAAAATTAAAAATTAGATCCGTATCATTCGATCGGATCAAAAGAGGGTTAGGTACCTACTTAGATATGGGGCAGATTAGAGTCACATAATTAAAAACTTGTAGATACCCGACTCGTCTTTCATATTTTTTTAATTTTTTTATTTTTA